CGATCATTAATAGTTAATACTCATTCCTTTTTTTGAGTAATGAGCCCAAGCTCGCACAGATATTTTTCGTCTCCGAATTCGAGCTTTTTGTAGTAGACTGTATTTGATCTACTTTGTAGTTGCAATGTCCAGTATGCGGATCAATATATTTCGTCTGGTATTATCTAATTGTCTCATTCTCATTAGCTTACTCTTTGCTAGTAGTGATGCACATTGCTTGCATGCGTCGGCTGAATACACGTTTTTTTAGATATGATACGACCATGCTCTAGAAAGGCTTTCCATTTCAGAGAACCTACTGAACATTGGATATGTTGTCAGTTTATTCATGTGTCTGTTCCACACCGAGTCGAGGATGGATACATTATGGGACTATTCGCAGGCTATATCATAGCCTTCAAACAAAAAATCTCTGTCACTGCCGAAATGTATTTCGAGGTTTATATGGTGCTCCCGACCAATTTGACTGACTATAATCTAAGCTAGATATTTGAGAATATATCGAGGTCAGATTACTTTGGGGAAGTCACGCATCACTCCAACAGAAAATGGCAGGAAGCATAAACTGCCCTTTTCCAGAGTGGTAAATGGTTCCGAGGAATCGCCTCAGATCAGATTCTTCAGGACCCTCCTGCTTGGTCATGAAATCCTCCGTGAGTGCACAAGTGTACCAGTCACTACAGCCGAAACTCGCTCAAATCGGGGATCTTTTGTCGTTACAGGTCGAGTGGTTGTGTATAAATGATTACCTTGTCTTCGACAGGGCTTCTTCAGAACTTATTTGGTCTAGTTTTTGCAATTTTGTCATATTGTCAGGAAATTCTAGAGGACTAAATCCATTCTAAAGGGCACACCTGAACTGGATTTGGATAAACAATAAAGAAATTGTGATAGTGAACGATAGGTGAATACTCCAGGACAGTAGAGATACCACAACGGTCTGGAAGACGATTGGTCAAAGGATTGCCTTTATTTGTCTCTTTGATGATTTGTAGTGTGGTGTTATGCACGGCAAGGCTCATTGACGATGCCGGCTAAACATCTGGGAATGTACTAAGTCCATGCTTCGAGTCTATAAAGTATCCGGGACTCTATGACTTTGTACAAGGTCTTCCTGACAATATGGCCAAGTTGCGAAAATAAGTCCAAAGGAGATCGCAATCATACTTAGGACCACACCATCTTGGTCTGAATATCTTCGATCATGACCAGGCTGTTGCACACTCCTACGATTCCCCCTTCGTGGGCCCAGAAGACCCCTTGCCCGGCCTTAGAGGGGTTAGGCTCGTCCTCATGGATGCGACTCCGTCGAGGAAATCTCCTCAAACTGTTTGAGTCTGGTTGTATTACCTGCCTCAGTCTATTAACTTTAGCTTTTGGCCGAGTCAGGACTACAAAGCTGCAGTATAGTGACAAATTAAATATTCAGGAAATTGAGTCTTTTTTGGATAATGGGTCACACTAAACGATGCTAAGCCAGTTGCCAAGTCAGGTTTGGTTCCTCTGTGATTACACGAGAAATGCTTTCTCAGGAAAGTAACTACAACAGCTCAGGCCCTGATTAGCGTCTGAATAATGCTATTTTTAGAAGTTGTTTCACCTTGTTTTCGCAACTTGTTTGTATTTTCAGGCGGACCTAGAGCAGCGCAACTTGCCGAGAGTTCATATTATGCATGATAATTTTTAGACTCGGATCGTGGACTGGATACATTCCCAGGAAATGTACCTGGTAAACGTCATTCAACATCCCCAGGATATGTATCACATTCACGTTCTGACACTGGAAAGTATCATGGATACTATGGACTCCGGACAAAGTGCGTTCCTCTATGTCGCCTTGACAATATGACCAAGTTGCGAAAACATGATTAAACAATTTATATACAGCTCGAGCATGCTAGAGGCCACACCATTTGAGTCTGAATTCCTTCGATTAATATATGCCATTTTTAATAATTCGCCTTTTTTTCACACTGTCTCTGCCTCGGCCTCGCTGTTTATAAAGAATATGGGCTGTTCAATATCAGTGAAACGGAGCCACCGGGATGCAACGACTATGCCAGAAAGCAGAGCATGTCTCAGCTTTCCGTCGGGACCTACTATCCCAAGTCAATGAGCTCCAAAGGCAGCTTTTCAGCCATCGAACGAACCCTGCCTCCACTCATGGAGACGGAATCGAATGAAGCGGTATCTAAATACGTAAGCAGCTTACATTAACTAAACTCAGCCACAATACTTGTATTTGATCACACTGCTTACTTCAGAGAGTATGTGAGATTTACGGCTAAAAAAAGAAACAAATTTGGTTAGATCCGAGACTATTGGTAAATCTGGAATAAGAGTTGCAGTGGTACTGGTTGAATTGCCCCTCAATCATATAAAAGACTACACGATTCCACTTAATTGCACACAGTTTCGCCTCCCAAAAAAGATTCTCATCCCGCCTACACGACAGATCTAATCTCGCCTGGGTCACAGCAGCTTCAACGGGAATCGAACCAAAGAAGGTAAAATTCTAGAAAAATAAGGAAACAACCTAGGCAAGTAAAGTGCTGAATAGGCAGATAGGAAAAACATTTAAAAAGTGTTTATTCAGAATTAGTAGACTTTACTTGCAGGGCAAGCTAGGCCTTTCTGATATCACGTTTTGTAGTAGCAATGCCTATGGAGTAAACTTGTATTTGCTGTTAAAACCGACTGTATCACTTATATTCAAAATGAGTACGTTT